CCTGGAGTCAATCTCCGGAACTTGACATGCTTGTGGCCCTGGAGTCAATCTCCAGAACTTGATAGAAAAGATCTCTTTATTACAACCTGATGTGTTCAGGATGTTCACAGAGCACGGTGAGACATTGAGCGCTTTCATACTTTGACCCCTTAGTCCCAGTTACCATCTCCTGGCTTAATTTCAAAAAAGTACTCATCACAGTCTAGCTTTGCTCATTTTTAACTTTAAATGTTACTGCAGACTTGCTTGCTTTGCTGTCTGTCACCTCCATCCAGTAACCTTGAAACTCATCTTTGTAGATGTGTGAGGCTGCACTTGCATTTCCGTCCCGTGTGGTGTCCCCTTCTCGGTGTCGTGCCCCGTCTCTTCTTGGAGAACGGTTAGGTTTTCTTTCTGGTTTGGGGCATGATAAATGACGACCTTGGGGAAAAAAAAATGACAACCTTGGGCACATTCCTGTTGGTGTCTTCTGGGGTCCACAGAGGTGCGTTTCTTTGAACATACCCATGCTCAGGAAGGGAGTGACTGAGCAGATGTACTTCTGTTCAGCTTTTGTCCTATCAAGAGAAAGAGTTCACCTGAAAGGGTCCACGCTCCACTGCCACTCTCAGTGTGCGCAAGTTCCACACAACTCCACATCCTGGCCTGAGCTTGTCAGTGGCGGTCTTTCTCTTCTAGTCTTTTGGTGTTTGTTGAAGTATCTAATTGGGGGTTTAATTTAAAAAAAAAAAAAAAAGGAGTATCTACATTTCCCTAATTGAGATTGAACATCTTCTCATGTGTTCTCAATGAAGGGCTACTCTGCTGGGGTGCTTCATGATGTGTTAGTGGGTTGTTCCATAAGTTTTATACTAATTTGTAGGAGTTTCTTAAAAATTCTTGAATGTACGCGGTGATAGTCTTTTCCACCCTGTGGCTTGCCTTTTGGTTAGTTCATTAGCTATGCAGTGCTGGGGATTGAACCGATGGCTTTGTGTACTCCAGGCACTAGCACTGATCCACATTTCCAGCCTAGCTTGAAAATTGTATTTTGACACAAGGGCTCGCTAAGTTGCCCAAACTGTATTTGTACTTGTGAATCCCCTGCCCCAACCTCCAAAGTAGCTGCGATTACAGTATGTGGAACTACATCAGCTGTGTCCTGTTTTGAATGTCTTAAAATTAGTTTTCCCAAGTAAGTAGAATCTGTATTGTCTCTTAACAGTAGTCAGTGAGCACATGCAGCACCTGGGCCTTGGAATGCAGTGAGTCTGACCTGTAACTTTAAGGTACATGCGTATTGAAAAATCATAGCATTAAAATGGTGTAAAATAATCTCCTGTATTTAGGACAAGGTCTACAGGGCGTCATGATGTAGGTTGGATTCATAATGATTCTCCTGTTTTCAGCCTCCCAAATGCCAGGATTACAGGCGCGTGCCACCATGCCCAGTTTCAAATCGCCATCTCAGTGCACCCCGCAGGTGGGACCAGCACGGCACGCCAGGGATCGAACCCTGGCCACTGCGCTCTGCCTAAGGAGGCACTTTAGTCCATTGAGCTATCAGACTGGCCCTTATGATGCAAAATAATCTTGCTAATAAGTTTCAGATGTGAAGACTTAATTAGACTGTGATATAATGTTAAATTTCTCTTTCTAGAATGCTTACGAATTATATAATAGGCTGACTATATATTTTTGGATTCTAGAAGTATGCTGTCTTCAGAACTTTCTGTAATGAAAGATACCCTCTATCATCTGTAATCTGAGCTGGTAACCATTAGCTATGTATGTGTGGATGTTGAAAACTAAAGTATGGCTGTGGTAACTGAAAAGCTGACTTTTTAATTTAATTTTGGTTGATTCAGAGATAAATCTCCATATGTTGCTGGTGGCTGCTATACTAGACCACACAATTCTTTATTGTTTTGCTATTTATAGTCTCATATTTAGGTTCACAGTCATACTGTAATTGATTTTTATAGGAGTCAAGTTTATTTTTCTCCCATATGGAAATACATTGACTGAGCAGCAAGGAAAAGAATACCCTCTCCTGCTCCTAGCCTCTGATCTGGCTCCTCCGGTCTATTTCGTTCATGTGCCAAGTCCCACTCTGCTTTCACAAGGAGTAGGACAAGGGCTTCCTCTTTCTCTGGAGCCTCCCGCCATTCTTGCTCCTTGTGCAGGCCTCTGATCTGGGTCGAAGTGGACCTGTGCATCATCCAGCCGGGAGAATGACTCAGCCCGCCTTGTGCCCCTCTTCTGTATGAGGAGGGCCTGGTGTGTCTGTCATGAGGCTCATTCCTTTCTGCTTGCTGTTATAAGTGGTGCTGTTTGTCATTTTCATCTTCTCGTTTTTCTGATATGTAAAAATAGAACTGATTTAGGCTGTTGTTCTCATATCTAGTGATAGTACAAAATTAAACTTAGGGATTCTGTTGGATTTTGTGCATATCAATTTCTGCCACTTGTAAATAATGATAGTTTGATTTTTTTCTGATTTTATCATTTTGACATCTTTCTGGCTTATTTTACTAATCAGTTCCTCCAGAGATCAGCAAACTTTTTTATAGTGAACCCGATAGGAATGCAGCCAGTAATCCCATGGAAGGATGGATGGATGGAGGGAGGCTCCGTGGTGTTTTACTTCGAGTCAGAATGGACTGTGAGTGCTGAGCATCTGCACTATTAGGTTTGAAAGGCTGTACCTGGGATGATTAGTGAAAAGCCCATCTCATCCCATTCTGGTTTTTTTTTTTTTTTTTTTAATTATTTATTTATGTGTGTGTGTGTGTGTGTGTGTGTGTGTGTGTGTCTGGCCAGCTCAGCCCACCAGGGGGCGGGGCTGGCTGGCATGTGGTGCTGGGGGATTGAACCGCAGTCCCTGTGCTTTGCTAAGCTTGTTCTAAGTAGGTGCTTTAGACCACTGAGCCATCTCACCAGCCCCCCATTCCGGTTTTTGAGACAGGGTTTTACTAAGATACCCCTGGCTCTACACTCAGGCTTTCTGCCTAGCCTTTTCAGTGGCTGGGATTGCAGGTGTGCCCCACCACCCAGCTAAAAAGAACCATTTTTATAGGAAATTAGAGAGGGAAAGAATGACTTATAACTATGGAAGAAACAGGGTCAGGCCTTGCCCCAGTGGACTGGTGACCTCTGGAGGGTCTGAGTACTTAGTGCTGCCCCGGTGTGGACTAAAGCTTGTTTCTCAATCTCTGCAGGAGAAGCAGAAATGAAGGTGCACGTGCACACGAAGTTCTGCCTTATCTGCCTGCTGACGTTCATTTCCCATCACTGCAGCCACTGCCACGAAGAGCATGGCCACGGAGAGCACGGCCACGGAGAGCACGGCCACGGAGAGCTCCCCGAGGAGCTGCACAGACACCATCGCGGGGTGACGGAGCTGGAGCCTAGCAGGTTCTCCCTGCAGGATGCCGAGAACGAGCAGAGATACTACATCGAAAGACTCTTCGACCGCTACGGTGAAAACGGAAGGTTATCCTTTCTTGGTCTGGAGAAACTTTTAACGAACTTGGGCCTGGGAGAGATCAGAGTGGTGGAGCTCAGTCATGAGGACCTGGGCCACGATCATGTGTCTCACCTGGACATGCTGGCCGTCCAGGAGGGCCGGCACTCCCACTCCCGCAGCCACCAGCACACTCGTGGTGCTGTAAACCCAGACAACCAAACTGTGACCACTGTGACAGCACGCAGAAACCACAAATGTGACCCTGAGAAGGAGACCCGGGAAGCATCTGCCAAGTCTGATGACAAACATGCCCACGACCACAGCCACCGCCCCCGCCACCACCATCGCTCCCACCACCACGTGGACCACAACAGCACACGCCACGCTCGGAATGACTCTGCCACCCGTGGGCAGCGGGGGGAGCCAAGCCGCGCGCCATCCACAGAGGCCAACAAGACGCAGGAGCAGGCAGAACTGAAGCCCCGGAAAGGACGGAAGGACAAAGGGAGGAAGAGTAGCGAGAACTCGGAAGTCATCACGCCAGGCCTTCCCCCTGCCCACGCCCAGGGCGAGCCCTATGAACATAATCGGGTGCATAAGCCAGAGCGTGGGCATAACCCCAGCCACAGCCACACCCACCCAGAGCACAGCGGGCACGACCCCGGGCATGGCCACCAGGACTATGTGCCCGACGATGAAGGCGAGTTTCGGCACGCCCGGAAGCGGGAGGCACCGCATGTTAAAAAGAGTGCGGTGTATTCGGCTTCCAGTCACAAGGACCATGGTGAGGCTGACCATCACCACGAGGTGAGTGTGCTACAGACCCCTCGCAGCCACTCTGCGCTGTGTCGTCCTGTAGTGCTTTGGAGGAAGACAAAGGTTCCCCACGGGATAGTCACGTTTCACCTTGCTCCAGCGCTTACATAGGGGCCACCAGGTAACCCTCCTGGCAGAAGTATTAAGGGACCCAAAGCAGTGCTATTCCTTTTATTCTCAAGTCTGGGTTCCCAAAAACGATGTGTTTATACATAGTTAGAAAATCCAGTCCTGCGTGTGGGTGGCACATGTCTGTGACCCCTGCACTCTGGAGGCTGAGGCAGGAAGATCCCTGACTTTGAGGCCTGCCTGTGCTACATAGTGAGTTCAAGGTCAGCCTGAACTGAATTATGCAGCAAGACCCTGTCTTAAAAAGACAAAAATAAAAATACCCCAGACATTCCTTATTTACCTCTTCATTTTACTACTTTGATATGAATTGTTCCGACTCTCCAGTGTACTTTTCACTGTTACCGTCACTGGGTTTCTCTGTACTTACAAATGAGCACTTTTTGGTATTTGGTCGTGCCTCTCGAGGACGAGCTGGGAGAGTTTTTCTTTCATTATCACTAAGTGTGGAATCAGCTGTTGCATGGTTTCATCGTGGGTTTGTGCCTGAATCCGGCCTGCTTTCCTGGAGACTGTGGGTAGGCCTGCAGTGTGAGAGGCCTGGCCTTCGCTCGGACCGGTGCCAGCCTGGAGTGCGCATGGAGTGCGTGCATGCCACGAGAGCCGCCCACTGGGATCAGAAGGTCCTGGTGCCCCCTCCAGCTCCTGGCACTTCACACTGGCTGCTCCCGCTCAGGTTTTAGTGACTACCTCACGCACGTGGAGCTTTGCTTCATTTGAGGTGTGCCGAAACACTGGCTTACTCTGATTTTTAGCATTGTTGTGAAAGCTCAAGAAAGTGTGTTGAGTGTATATCTGGTTTGCACACCTAAAGGACAGCAACATCAGGCATGGAAAGTGGCCTTAGCTTTTGCTTTCTATCACTGTCACCATCCAAGTAAGCAACTTTGCATTTCTTCTGTGGTAAGTAATCAAGTGCTATCTTTTACGATCACTGATTTTAAAATACCACAGAGAGTGTAGTGTGACTTTTAGGTGTGCGACTGGGCCGTGGTGCTGTCCCGGAGTGCTCTGTGGTGAGGCCGGCTTCTGCTCTCCACCTGTGGGGTCCCGGCTGGCCACTTCCTCAGTGCGGCCCTCGCTGACAGCGTCCACAGCGCCCTCAGGAGCCGCTCTTGGCTTCTGTGCCTCGAGTGGGGCCTGAGGAGGATCGTTGTGTGTCTTTGTAGGCTGTGACGTTGCTCGCAGCTACTTAGTGTGTGATATTGCTTTGCCTTAGTTTGGGCCACGGACAAAGTTGGCAGCAAGGACCCAGGTGGGTGAAGGCGTGCGCAGGCAGGGAGGAAGCCCTGCTCCCGGCAGGCAGCTCCATATTTGCTCCTGGTTTTTAAAGTACTGGGATGAAGCTGCCTTTTTTCATCTTCTAGTCTGGCCTCCCTCAGTCACTTGGGCTGTGTTCATCTTTCTTCTCAATGGATTTTGTGGTTGCTGCTGCGCTGGGTGCTGAGGCCAGGGTCTTACGCATGCTCGGTGGGTGCTCCGGCTGCGAGCGCCTTGTCTGTGTCTGTCCCTGGTTTGGAGTCACTGAGGGTTACAGCTTGGCTGGGAAATTATTTTTCTCCTCATAGCATCTTGGGGCTACAGGTGCGAGTCATGATCTTTGTGGAACAATGACTCCAATCCAGAACACGTCTAAGAATTTAGACCAAAGTAGCTGAATGTATCCATACCAGAATTGCCTGTAAAGGCCTTTTGGGGGTCAGTACCTGCATGTGAGCACTTTTCCAGCAACATTTGGAATCGTGTTACTATATTTTACATTTACCACGTTTCACATATATTGCTTGCGTAACCCTAAAGACCTCTTTCCACCACTCGTGGTGGGTTTCCTTGCAGTGTCTGAACGGCACTCAGCTGCTGAAGCACTTTGGTCATGGAGCCAACACCCCCATCTCGCCCGCGCTGTTCACTTACCTGTGCCCTGCGCTGCTATACCAGATTGACAGCAGACTCTGCATCGAGCATTTCGACAGGCTTCTAGTGGAAGATTTGAGTAAGGAGAAGCATCTCATTCCTGAAGACAAGGCGAACATAGGGGCGTCAGGTAAGGAAACAAGCGAAGTTTTGTTGTTCTTAAAGCATGTAGTACCTGCACTTATCTTTTAAACTGTAGTTCAGTTAGAGTGTAGTTTGGTTAAGACGTTAACATGTCTTAAAGTGGTTTAGGTATCCACTTAGCGAACACTGGGGAAGACAGGAAGAGCGCACTGCGTTTGTCTCCTGTGGCAGCATGGAGGGCTGCTTTGCCCTGGATGGATGGATGGATGCATGGATGCATGGATGGATGGATGCATGGATGGATGGATGGATGCATGCATGGATGGATGGATGGATGCATGGATGGATGCATGGATGGATGGATGCATGGATGAATGGATGGATGCATGGATGGATGCATGGATGGATGCATGCATGGATGGATGGATGCATGGATGGATGGATGCATGGATGGATGGATGCATGGATGGATGCATGGATGGATGGATGCATGCATGGATGGATGGATGCATGCATGGATGGATGCATGCATGGATGGATGGATGCATGGATGGATGGATGCATGGATGGATGGATAGATGGCTAGGTGAAGAGTGAGAGAGCTTTCAGAAAGGGAGCTGTCCTGATGGGCAGATGGAAGGAATAGGGCCCCTAATCCAAGTTATTTGATATGATGGCGATTTCATCTTTATCAGTTTAGGGGCCTCTGTAGAAAAGCAAAGATGTTTAAATGTTTACTGAAATGAAAGGGGAAATCCATGTGGCTGAACTCCAGGAGTGTCTCCAAAATGTGAGTTGGCTGGTGTTGCGCTTTGTCCCCATTCCCCCTGGAGAGCGCCAACGAGAGACCCATCTGGTTGTCAACTTCTCTCGGCTTTTCCCACCCCCGGCCAGGCTGCTCAGGGGCTCTGTAGTGCTGCACATGGGTTTCTTAAAATGTTTCACAATTTCCTCTGCATAAAGTTATGTGCCTCTTACCAAGTCTCAGGCGCCATTCCAGGTCACTTTGATAAACTCTGAAGTCCTTTTTTTGTTGTTGTCTGTCTTTTTTGAGATCTCGCTGTGCAGCTCAGGCTGGCCTTGGACGTACTTTGTAGCCCGTGCTGGTCTCAAACTTGCAACAATCCTCCTGCCTTGGCCTTCCAACTGCTGGGGTTACAGGGTTGTCCCACCAGGCCCAACTAGAATCTGAAATCTTGGCTATTTTCTTATTTTTCTCTTAATTCCTCATATAATCAGTTCTGAAGTCCAGGGGAGGCTGTCTGTGAAAACTCCTTTAACTCCCTTCGCTCCTTCATAACTTCACGCACTTAGTTTTGGATTTTCAGACAACGTCAGTGCCCTTCCTGCTTGTGTTGCCCTTGCCCTTGTAAGACAGCCTGGCACCGAACAGGACTCGAGAACGTGCGTGCAGTTCTCCAGTACAGACTTGTAACAGCTAATGGTCAGTAATCCGCTATTTCTAATTCGCTCCACAGTACACGTCATGGGTGCTGTGTTAGCCACACTCTCTCACACCAGTCTCCTGCAGTGGGTGGTGGTGCCCTTTCCCATGAGTTGGCAGTGCCAGGCTTCCAGCCTGTGGAGTTCACCATTTCATCTCTGTGTGCTGAGTGTTTTATGTGTGTTTTTTCTTTTTTCCATAATTTTATTGAGAAACAAATAGCAATGCGACAGTTTCAAACCAAATTGTTAGGACAGTTTCAATAATTAACACATTGTATACATTCTTCCTAGTGGTTAATTGCTGTACAAGATGCGGACTTGATATCCTATCACAAACGCCATATGTGTGTTTTTTCCACTAAAGTTGAGGGATAACCCTAATGTTTTGTGACTTATTTATTTATTTATTTTGGTACAGGGTCTCGCTATGCAGCTTGGACTTGTAGTGATCCTCCTGTCTCAGCCTCCCTAGCACTGGGATTATAGGTGTGTGTCACCACAGCAGCCAGCTCAGTGTGGGGCTGGCATGGCATGCAGTACTAGGGACTGAACCCAGGTCCTTTTGCTTGCTAGGCAGACACTTAGACTGCCAAGCTATGTCCCTGGTCGTCTTTATTTTTTAATAGATAAGGAAACTGAGGCACGGAGAAGTCAGGTAACTCTCGCGCAGTTCCCAGGCCGTGTGACCCTGAGGCTTGCGGCCTGCAAGCTGTAAGCCAGCGTTTTCTCAGTGTGGTTCAACCTAGCATGGTTTTGTGAGCTTTGCTAGCATCTAGATTATTAATGCCTCCCGCGGTGGTACCTGCACATTCCTTGCCGTTCTGAGAGCTTGCTGGCTGTCATGACAGCTTCCTCGACTGCCTCACTGCGTGGTGCTGTACTGTCACAAGGTGACAATACAGGCCTGTGTGGGAGACCTGCTTCTGACTGCTGTCCTCCCTGCATCCTGTTTTCTGTCCTCAGCCATGCCCTGAGCCATCCCTGACAGAAAACGAAGCTGTTTTGTGTCACTTCCTCAGGATGCAGCGCAGGCGTCAGCCCCTGTGGCCTGAAGCTTGTCCTGTGCTGGTCCTCTGCTGCTGTCCTGCGCCTTCGCTTTCTTCGTGCTGGGGCAGATCTCAGGGAGTCTTAGGAATGGGCCCGCTGTGTTTAGGGTGCACTGGGGTTGCCTTGAGGCAGGGCCTGGAGCTTCCATCTCTTGCACCCCAGCGCCATCGTGAGGACGGCTTGGATAGAAAGCAGGCACTCAGGCCTGATCGAGGGAGTACAGCGCCGAGTGGCAGCTCCTCCACTCTTCAGCTGCAGTCCAGGGGCGGGGCCTGCTGAGGGCAGCCAGTGGGCTCCCCTCACTGCTGCTGCTGACCCTGGGAGTAAAGCGCCTTCTAGGCAATTGGAGCTCTCGCCAACTGCTTCACCAGGTGTGACACTGTGCACTTACAACAACAAACAAGTTCTGCTTGTATTGCTAAGAGGTAGTGGCCCTAGGGACACAGAAGGTTAAAAAATTTCATGCCATAGGAGTAAATGTTTAGGAACACTGGATTCCAGAGTGTCAGAATTTTATCAGGATAGATCATTCTTAAGGATTGAAAGAATACAATGTGTGTTCAAGGTTAAGTTCCCTAGGCACCTACATTTTACATTTAGGTTAATTTTTAAATAGGAAAACAACCTTAGAATACATTAATTATAATAGGCTATACTTACTGGAACCTTACCACATGCTGAACTAAACACTGCTACAAGATATTTCCTGTGTTCGTTCGTTCGTTTGTTCTTTCATTCTTTCATTCATGCCTGAGAAGGGGTCCTGCTGTGCTGTCCAGGCTAGTGTCAAGCTCCTGGGCTCAGGTCCTTCTCCTGCCTTGGCCTCCCAAGAGCTGGGATTCCATGTGTGCACCGTGGCACGCAGCTCACTTGATTTATTAAGCCCACCCCTGGAATGGGTGCTTCTGTTTCCATTCTAGGTGAGTGAGGAAAGGGAGTCCTAGGGGACAAGAACAGGAAGCTCCTGATGCAGGACGGGGCGCCTGCTTCTGCCTTGTGCTTCTTGTTGAAGATGAGGGACTGTGAGGTGTGGCCGTCCCAGCTCCTGGACACCTCACTGTGACTGGAGGCGGGAGGGCAGGAGGAAATTTCATGAAAGTCAACACATTTCTGTGCAGGGCAAAGTGGGGACGAGATTGTCTCATTTTGAATTAAGATGAACAACTCTTTATTCGCAAAGTTCCTAATAACTTGTAGTTTATTTTTATCTCAGCTGTGGATCCCACCTCTTCATTAGACTGCTTCTGTTGTAGTGTCACCATAACTCGCATAGTGCAACAGCGCTGCTGATGGACGTGTAACGTAGTGACATTGAACGGTCCAGCTTATTTGCACAGAAAAGCCTTAGAGGAAAGTGTGCTTGATTTGGAAACAAGTGCATTACTAATAGTGAATATTGATTAGTGGTTTGCAGGTGGTGATTAGCATTGTCAGAAATGCAGCTTGAATTAATTATGTCCTGATGGATGCTAATAATTGTTGGCAAAAATGCCCTGCTAGTAATTATTTTTAATGACTGCTGCACCATTAAGAAAGGTTAACTTGTTCTGTATAAATCTCCCATAGTGCTGCAGCCGCTACCTCATTAACTTCGCTCAAAGACTGCTGTAAACCAAATATGCTGTGTACGGTGCTTGATGGAAACCGATTGTCTTCCTGGGATTGGCTCGTGCAGTCACAGGGCTGACCCTTGCTTCATTACCGGGGTCTGTGACTAGGCCGCTAAGCAGTTTCTGTCAATTAAAATGCTGAAGCCATGTGGAACAGTGCTGTCTTGCGCATGGTTTACACGGAGTTAATTAGGAAGTTTCCACAGATGAATGCTGCTTCTTAAAAGAATGCATTTTTTCTCTTGATGAGAAAGGGAGTTGAGGGGTAGCTGAACTTTAAGGCCTTGCACGTGTTGAGCGACCTGATTTGCAGAGTAAGTGAAGCTTGTCAGGCGTGTAGTGCTCTTCATTGCAGACGGTGTCTTGGGTGCAAGTACCGGAAACGTTGGCTGGCTGCACGTCATCAGTCTGCCCGTTGTTGGTGTGGTGTATTCACACACATTTAAGAACACCTTAATTGTTTTTGTTTTGTTGCAGCCTTGTGGTTGTAAATAAATAATGATTTTACATCAATTGTGATATTTAAAACCATAATTTGGTTAGAAATCAGGTTTTTTATTCCCTGCAGTGCTTTCTTTTTCTGTGCCTTGGAAACTAGGAAACTCAGATAGAATTTCTGTGAGTTTAAATTTACATGTCTTATGTTCTAGGGTAAACAACAGCATAAGTAATTTTAAGCATAATAAATTCAAAATGGCTTCACACTTGTATTTAAAAGGGTTGTTTTCCTTTATGAAGATGACAAATTGTTAGAAGAATTGGCCATTACGTTTGTAGTGCTAGAGAGTTGGTATTTTTTAAAACTTTGAAAGTGAATAATTAAGAATAAGAAAACATGTTCATGATCCGTGTGCAGAGGGGCCGTGGAGCTGCGCTGCTAAAGAGACAGCTGTCACCGAGTCATTGTGCTCTGGAGAGTCACGTGACTTTTCTGCTGTATTTT